AAGCTAAGTGATACAAACGAACATAAATTATTTAAAGCTGTAGTTATGAATGTTTTATTTTCTATTTGCAGTATGATCAGAAAAGGAGATGTCATGTTTGATTGTTCTATTCAGGCAAACAAAAGAATACCTTGGTGAGAAATAGAATGGAAATTTAGAGAACATATTATCCCAAGGTGTTCCGCCACTTGTGTGTTTCTAAATACACACTGCCAATCTAAACTGGATCTCCAACCCACAGGAAAGTAATATCACATGTACAGGTCTGTTTGTGATATAGGTTACCTAATAGCCACATTGCCTTGGCTCCTTAGTTCAAGCCATGGTCTACTATTCGGAAGCTGACTTCAAACTATCATTGTCATTGCTCTAAAAAAAAAAAAACATACTAAAAGATTGGTATGTGTACTTATAGTGCATTATACAACAGACTAAAAGAGATATTTAACACAAATTAAAAATGTAATGTGTTGAGAAACCTGAAATATAGGCTGAAGCAAATAGGCAGAAGGGTGGAATAATAAGGTAAATTGCAGCATACAGAAAGTTTGGGGTCATGTGGAGGGCAGTAAAGAGCTACTTTATTCATATGGGGAGGAGTACTAAGTGGGGGTGATTATATATAAAAAAGAGATAGACAATTAAAAGTTAGCCACGTGACTCCTGTACATCCATTTATCATGCAGCAAGGGATGGTTATAGTTATGTCAGGGCAGTTCTAGCAGGGCCTTTGTTGGAAGGTCCTGTTATACTCAAATTTTTTATATTTATCGTATGGGGTGCCTTTGACTTGCATCCAGCAGTGGAGGTAGCTTGTTATATCCACTGTAACAGAGGATGCCCTGTTGAGTGTTAATGTACAGCTGTTGAAGAATGATGGCGATGCTCTCTAAGTGGTGTTTTCTTTTGCCAGCCTATGGGTAGTGTATCCTTAGAATGGCATGCATCAATAAACTGTTTTTATTTGATGTAATAAATCAGCTGTGGCATTTCACAGTGTGATTGCTACTTTATAATGAACTCCAAAACACCATATTACTAAACTTGGTGGCACCATTTCTGACATACTGTAGCTATAAATCGCATGCTTATTTGAAGATGACTGACTACTAAGTTGTATTTTAAACAAAATTGGATAATGACTTGTAATGACAGCAGCAGAGACTTAGGGCATAACGTCTACTGAGCTTAGTTTTGTAGCCAGCATCCAGTAACAAAAAATAAGCACCACATTTTTTTCCCATACATTTATGTAAAAGAGTGCACAAAATCAATCCAATGTGGGTTGGTAAATTAAGAATCCAATAAAGACAAGGTCTAAAAAGTCTCAAAGAACAATTCACTTTTGTAAGAATCATGAGGATACCATACACAGATGCACCAGCATGCACAATACCATACCATACCATACTATAAACCAATAAACTACAATTGTATTGATTCATAAAGGCCAAAGTAATGCACTTATAAAAGGAAAGAAGATTGCTTATATGAAACCCAGAGAATACATTCTGTAGGTGACTCTTGAACACAGCAAGTGGCAGGACACACTGATGTTCTGGAGATCATTATTTAGAAAGCATGGGGAATGTTACAGCTGCCATATTAGTCACAAACTTAAAAAGCAAACCAGGACTTCCGGTTCCGGCGCCCGATGGTGTAGTGGTGAGTGAACCGGCTCCGCAAAAAACCACGACGGAACACTGAACACAGCCGCTCTTCCCCGTGCAGTTTCGATCAGGCTGATCACCGGACACCTGGACCGGGTGATGGAGAGATTCCTCACTCGCAACACAAATACCAAACGCGCGTTATTGATCGAATCAACACAGCCACAGGACCAATCCAAGATGGCGGAATCTGTATAGAGTGCCGTGTGAGATACTTTGGTCTTCACATTGATCTATTTGCTTCTTCTTGTACGTGTATTTTGGCAGGCTGGGGACTCAATGAAACAGTGGTGCATGCATATGCCCAAATGCCTGTGTGTTTTTTGTTTTTGTTCTTTTTGTTGCAATGCTAGCTTGAACACAACTCTATGGATGTAATAAAACTGGAGGTAAGAAAATGAACACAAAATTGGAGTTGGTGTATATGGCAACTGTAACATGGTGCCAGTAAAACCTGCCAGGTTGGCAGGAAAAGTGATAGATGGTAGATACATTTCTCCATGGATCCTTAGATTTATCATCTAAGGTAATGCCAGCATAGAAATGAAGGTAAAGAAAAATAGCTCTTTACCTTGTATTGGTAAAACAAATCCTGGGGCTGGTGTTACTAGGAGTCTGATAGAGCTCTGGGTGGGACAGACTCCTAGTTCCATGGACCGTAGTTTAGTGAAGACTGCACAGGACTTAATTAGTGTGCAGCTGCACCTAGCTTGGGGGAAGTGTGTGTCTCAGTGCAAGGAGAGACAGTGTGCTGAATGCAGCAAGTTATGTGTTTGGAGCCAAGATTATCAGCAGGACAGGGTTCTGTGGATGGACTGTAACTGTTCCCATAAAGGAAACAGACCCAGCTCAGCGGACTATCGCTAATACCCAGTAAGGCTCAGTGGAGCGGACTTTTATTTGTTTATGACAATTTAAATTTTTGGGCTGGATACTTGTAACCTTTTTTTTGTCAACTGATTGCTGTCTGGAATTAAAGGTGGCATTTTTGTTGAAGAGACTGCAAGTTTGCCTCTACATTGAGACTGGTTCCCTACACAACCAATCAAAATTCTTATTTAATATTTCCATTAGCTAAAACCTGTTTTAGATAACGGCAATGGGTTTCATTTTGGCCTAATTTTCTTTTAGTCCAGTTTTATTGCCTCTATCCCTATGTGATAAAGGATAATTCCATTTAACATTGAGCTTCATTGGCTGGAATATGTATCTTTTAAAAAATAAAATGCAAAATGTTCAAGTTAATTTGATATACAAAAGTAAGAGAAAAAAATATGTTGATGGGAAAACTAGAAATCCCTGTTAGCCAAATGCTTATAGATATGTTGTGATATGCAGTTCTTCAAAAGATGTTGCTAGTTTGATAAGTTTTAATTCGTTTTGAAAACTTGGCACAATTGCATTTAAACTATTTAATTGATTTAAAATGACAGAAAGCATTCTTTGCTAGGCGAATACTATTCTTTGTTAAAGAAATCTGTTAATTCGTTCAGACAGCTTTGTATAACCATATTCTATTTCTCAAGAGTCTATTAGCAGTCTCAACAGTCCTACATAACTGGCCAAACAGAATGGAGCCTTGCTGTACTTCTACCGATGACTATTTACTCCTAAACTGCATGCTTTAAACTATAATGTTATGTGCAGATTATAGTACTGCCTTTCCAGAGAAACAAACAAAGTTCAGTCATTACCAGAAGTTTAAACCAAACATAAGTTTACTGATCTGGTGTGAAATTTACACCCTTGTGCAGTTTATCCCATATCATTACTTTGATATTATAGATAATAAAATAGCATTACAGTCTACATTGAATAATTTAAGTTTGGCAAGGTTGAGTTCACGCACTGCTAGAGTTAACTAGATTCTCTCAAGAGTAGTTGTTAAGGCACAAAAACATTGCTGAGCTCAGCAGACAGACTGGGTGCCATTCAAGCTCTTGCTTAGTGCTATTCATGAGGAAACGAATTACTCAAATCAAGTTGCATTACCCATCAAAATGAAGAGGCAAAGGGAAATTCTCTGAGAGATAAACTCTCTTTCCTAATGTGCCCTTTTCAGATGAAATAATTAAAGAAAGTGTGCAATGCAGTCAATTTTCAGTAACACTTCACTTGAAATGTTCAATCATTACAAACTCATTAGATGCTTGTGCAGATCTCACATGTTTTTCCCACAGGCATTCCAATGCAATTTAGTGTTAATGAACACTTAAAAACACTTCCGGATTAAGTTGTTGCAACAATAGATGTGATGAACTATAAAGTTGCATTAAAAAAATCAGTCTTCCATTCAGTGCTTTTCTCAAAGTTATACTCTTTATGAGAAGTCTTCAGTCTTAAAAAGCTCTCAGAATGTTTAATGCTTGCATATATCGGTCTCAACACCTTGCACACTTACTGCATATACAGGGATTCAGGTGTACAGAAGCCCTGCTGTAAAATTATGATGAATAAGAGCTACTAGACAACTAGATAATACAGTCAGTGAATGGTTAGTTTTTGCCCCAGGGTTATTAAATCTGGGTAATAAATGATTTCCAAGAACCCTGTTTACAAAAAGAGAGATTATAGGAAAAAATGCAGAAGCAAGTACAGCAGTTAGCTTCTGTCAGAGTATGTGTTTGGAATTGAAATATTCCTTATCAAATTCACACTGTCATTTTTCAAGCAGCTCCTAGTCTAATGAACATCTAGCAAATATTTCTGGTATTTTTTTCAAGATTGATAATTAATTTCATGCTGGTTGTTAAATACCAAAGAATGTAAATGCATACCAAAATTACAAACATATTTTTAAAGCTAACTGGAATTGTGTAGGCTGCCATTGCTGAACTGTCCTGAAAAAGGCAGGGGCTGAGTGTCATGATGATTCAATGGGGTTGATTTACTAAATGAATATAGACTATTCCCCTTGATTAAATAAAATGAAGCTGTGTTCACAGCAATCATCCAATCGTGTACAAGCCAAAACATTTATTTTAATTTTCCTTCCACATTAAAGTAAACACTGCTTCACTTAATTTACTAAACTCAGGCAACATTAACTTTCCAAAGAAATTAACTTTACTATGTGAACAGCTTCTATGCCTTTAGTAAATCAACCCCAATAACTTCAATACCATCAGAGCTTACCGACCTGTAAAGAGAAAGCGCATGCCAGGCAACCAACATTCTCTGAAGATGGTCAACATTAGCAAACTACATATTTCTCTCAGTAATTTTAATGTTTATCAAAGTGTTTCTGCTTAGCATTTATTTGAAAATGAAAAAGCCTGGTCATAGCTAGAAAAAAAAACAGTAACTAGAATGCAGAGCACAGTAACTTACAACAAAGTAGTAGAGCAGGGAAGATCTGGCCATAAAACGAGGTCTGCAGTCTCCCACACAGACATCCACAAATCCAGCGTGCTGGCTTGGCTTGGCATCCCCTATTTCACATACAATTCTGAAAGTATTAAAACATAGAGTTTAGTGGGGGCTTTTTTCAAGTTATTTTACTGCTTGTTATGAACATGTAAAATATTTGAATGTCCATTGCCTAGCCACACTTCTTCTTAAGCTGTCATTAATGAAAGTGTAATGGTGACTGAGTGCTACCTGTAGCAGGCATGCATGGCACACTGTGTGCCTTCATATTGCTTTAACATGTTGAAAACTATTTGATTGTTACTGCAACAACACATATAAATGCAAAAGGAAGTTCCTGATCAAAAAGGGTCCACTATAGATATCCAGGTGCACATTCAGCTCATCCAACATATTCCTCTTTCTAAACATGTATACATCACTCACCAGAACTCTCTGAACACATCAGTTTTATGTTTGTTTTGGTATTTGTTTAGCATAAAATGTGTCAGATTTCTGTAGCATTTCTGTATGTACCCCGTTTAAGTATAAATAAAAAAGATTCATGCAGTAAGTTCCAGTGAGTGCTGTAGCCCTGTATTGAGGTATAGGTAATCACACATACAGTCCAGTGAAACGTTTTAGACAGGTGTAAAAAATACTGTAAAGTAAGCATGCTTTTAGAAACAAAAGTGTTAATAGTTTATTTTTATCAATTAACAAAATGGAAAGTAAATGAACAGAAAAGAAATCCAAATTAAATCAATATTTGGTGTGACCAGCCTTTGCCTCCAAAACAGCATGAATTTTTCTATGTACACTTGTACACAGTTTTTGAACACAGAAAAATGGCAGCAGGTGCTCAGGACTGATGAGTCAAAATTTTAAATAATTGGCTGTAGCAGGAGGCAGTTTGTTCTCTGAAGGGCTGGAGAGTGATACAGTAATGAGTACCTGCAGCAACAGTGAAGCATGGTGGAGGTTCCTTGCAAGTCTAGGGCTGCATTTCTGCTAATGGAGTTGGAGATTTAGTCAGGATCAATGGTGTCCGCAATGCAGAGAAATACAGGCAGATACTTATCCATTACACCATACTATAAGGGAGGCATGTGATTTGCCCCAAATGTATTCTGCAGCAGGATAACAACCCCAAACATACAGCCAATGTTATTAATAACTATCTTCAGCCTAAGGAAGAACAATGAGTCCCGGAAGTGATGGTTTGGGCCCCCACAGAGCCCGATCTCAACATCAAGTGTGTCTGGGATTACATGAAGAGATAGAAGGCTTTGAGGCAGACTACATCCACAGATAATCTGTGGTTAGTTCTCCAAGATGATTGGAACAACCTAACAGCCGCGTTCCTTCCAAAACTGTGTGCAAGTGTACCTAGAAGAATTGATGCTGTTTTGAAGGCAAAGGGTGGTCACACCAAATATTGATTTGATTTGGATTTCACTTCTGTTTATTTTCTTTTCTATTTTGTTACTTAATAAAAAAATAAACTAATAACACTTTTATTTCTGAAAGCATTTTTACTTTACAGCATTTTTTTCACACCTGCCTAAAACTTTTGCACAGTGTTGTATGTTTAAGAATTAAAAAAGAAACAGGAGCTGTATTTGAGCATGCTTCTTCCTCAGTATGCCATAGATGTGACTAGTAGGAAATGGGAAAAGTTATAATAAGTGACTCCCTTTGATTTTCAAGCAGCCCTGACACAAAAGACACAAAGCGAAGTGAGCTGAACGTTGTTCGGCTATTCACTTCAGGCTGGTACGGCTGATTTCCGCCGATATACGTCGTGTGGCTTCGGGTCGGCCGCACATGCTCAGCATGTGCGGCCGACCCGAAGTGCAGAAGGAGTTCGACTCAGCCGATCCAACATCTGGATCGGCTAAGCCGAACCTCCG